TTCCAGCTTGTAACTGGGATTAAAGAGAACCAGCAGTTTCAAAAAGCACCAGCCAGATGTTTTGTTTGTTTGAGGCATTTTTTTTTTCCTCATTTACTCAGCTAGGGTCAGAGTGCCAAGTCCTCCCTGCCACCCATAGCACTTTGCACCTGACCAGTATGGCCTCTTCTAGAGCAACATGGTGAACCCATACTCGTTCAGGCTGAGCCCCATGTATAGCGGCCCGGTCACCAGGCACTTGCCAACAAGCCCCTCCCCCTGACATGGCTACACTTTGGGTCTGAACCATCTCTGCTGTTTCCTCTACATCGAGAGAAACTAGTTTAGGTGGTTCATCTTATGGAAGCCCCCCTGGACACTTCTGTAGAGGCATGTCCAAATGGGAGGTGACTCTGGGGACGACCCAGGACACACTGGAGAGACGAGGTCTCTCGGATGGCCTGGGAATGTTTTTGAATGCTCCTGGAAGAGCTCTCTGGGCCTCCCTGCTCAGTCTGCTGCCCTCGCGACACAACTCTATACAGACGACGGATAATGAACGGGTTTCTTCCTCTGAAGCGAGAAGCTGACCTCTTTGCAACATAAATGGTTGCTTCCTGTGCCCTTTTGAACTCTTGTACCACAACTTCTCCTGCACTTGGCCTCCACCTACACAAGAAAACTAAATCAAACATGTCTCCTCCCAGAAAGACTAAATAATCCAACTTTGTATTGACTCAGATTCTTAAATGTTTAATGAAGCAGTACGTTAGCAGAAACACAATGAGCGTCTTGCCAGACTCTGCGTAGGTCCTTAAACACGAGGTGGAACTTGGATTTGATTTCATAAGATTCCCCACTCGTGTGACGCCTGATTGATGTAGGAGATAATGTTCAAACTAAGAAACTCCCACTCTTTTAGAACCAGAGAGTTTTAAGGTATTTAACAGTTGTATGCGCTGCAAAACGCATCAATCAGTCAAGTGTTCTTTGATACTGAATGCTTTTCTGAAGCATTCACACTACTGTGATTCATTTTTCTTCCGTACGTTATCCGGCATCTTTCTCTTTCCACAATGTTTGTGCTATTTCAACAAATCGTACATCAAAACTTTCAGCTTGTTCTGGAGAAGGGTGCCATGAGTTTTGGTGTTGGTGCAACTTAAGCTTTTTGAAATATTTAGCCTTCTCTGCCATTTGGGGAAGTGGTGGCGCACTGGTTAGAGAAGGTGGGTCTGTGATCGGAACATCGTCGGTTCAAGCCCCGGTACCGACAACATCAAAGATGTGGGTGGGGTAGGTGAAGCATCCACACCCGCCTCCACCCTCATTCGCCCCACTCTGGGCCCATGAGCAAGGCCCTTAACCCCCATCTGCTCCCTAAACAGGTCTCTCTTGAAAATGAGTTCTCGTGGCTCAATGAGACTACCTGGATAAATAAAGGCTAAATGAAAAAAATTGTTTCCTCATAGAAAATGAACTGAGCTCATTTTACATCCTTCAAATCTTTGGATCTGTTTACAACCTTTTACTGCTCCTTTCACATTTTGTTCAGCTTCAGGACCCTTGTGCAAATTTAAACTTTTTTTCAGCTACTTTTAGCTGTTTATTCAGCTGTTTTGCGCTCCTTTCAGATTCTCTCTGCAAGCTACAACATTGTTGTGCTTCTTCAAACTTCTTTCTGCTATTTTCAGCTTGTTTATGCCCCTTTCAGCTTAATTCTGCAAGTTTCAGCTTTTTCTGCTATTTCAGCTACTATACAGCTGTTTTGTTCTAATTTTAGCCTTTTCCGCTAATTCCACATTTTTTGCACTTACTTCAATTTTTTTCAGCCTAATTGAGCAAAAATCTGCTCTCTCCACTTCCTTCTGGTAATTTAAGCTTCTTTCTGCTTTTTATCTATTTTTCTGCTTTTTTCAAACAATTTCCATTTTTTTGTACTCATGTCTGCTTCTTTAAGCCAAATTTGGGCAAATGTGTTCTTCCTGCTTTCTTCTGCTAATTTAAGCTTGTTCTGCCTTTTCAGCTAGCTTTTTTTTTTTTAGCATTTTTTAGTCACCAGTAATTTCAGTTGTTCAGATAACTTCAATTCTTTTGTGCTAATTTGTGCTACTTTCAGCCTAATTAAGTTATTTATGCTAATTTTAACTTGTTATGCTCCTTTCAGCTTTTTTCTGCTAGTTTCATCTTTTCTGCTCTTTCGGCTACATTTAGCTCTTTTGATGCTAATTTTAGCTTTAACAGCTAATTTCACTTTTTTTTAAGCTTATTTCAGTTCTTTCTGCTTCCTTCTGGAAGTTTAAGCTTCTGTTTGCCTCTTCAGCTACTTTTCAGCTATTTTTGCTAATTTCAGTTTTTTTTTTTTAGTTAATTTCCTAATTTTTATGCGCATTTCTGCTTATTTATACCTAATTCAGCAAATACGTTATTTCTGTTTTCTTCTACTAAGTTAGGTTTGTTCTTCCATTTCAGCTCCATTTCAGCATCCACCCATCCATTATCTTTTACCCGCTTCTTCCATTTTGGGCACGGGGGTCGCCGGTGCCCATGTCCAGCAATCACTGTGCGAGGGGCGGGGTACACCCTGGACGGGTCTCCAGTCCATCACAGGGCCACATAGAGACAAACAACACAAACAACCATTCACTCTCTCACTCACACCTAGAGACAATTTAGAGTTACCAATCAGCCTAACATGCATGTTTTTGGTCTGTGGGAGAAAACCCACGCATGCACAGAGAGAACATGCAAACTCCACCCAGAAAGGCCCCCGGACCGGGATTTGAACCAGGGACTTGCTCGCTGAGAGGCAGCAGCTCTACCAGTTGCGCCACTGTGCTAACCCCATTTCAGCATGTTTTAGCTAATTTCAGCTGTTTTTCAGCAATAAGCATTCACCCTGCATTTTCACAGGAATTGCAGTTTCTCTAGTTCAGAGTGAGTTTGCACTGTTCTGAACACTTCATGGCTTGTGCAGTTTGGACCTCCGGGTATTCTGAATGTTTTTAATCTGTAAACTGGAGCTTTAAATATAATTCAGCTGGTGCCATCTGCTGGTTCAGGCTCCTAACAGCGCATCTTAAAATTAACTAAAATACAAACTCAATTTACAATTTAGGATTGTCTGTGTAAAGAGCATCAAATAATTTAACCTTGCTGATAAAATATAAGCATAATCACAAAGGTTCATTGTTTAGTACAAATCCCTATGTGGGATTAACTGCTCAAGCATGTCTGTAATCTTTTATGGCTTTGCACGTAATTCAGTTTAGAATGAAGAAACTCAGTCCCTTTAATATCAGATTATTCAAAAGTTGTTGCTGCATTTCTTTGTTTTATGCACCAGTGAGCCACAACATTAAAACCGTTTGGTTAAAATTGTTTATCAGATTTGTCTTGTGATGCCCAAACAGGTCGTACCTGCTCACAGAACCTTGTGGAGGCGTGTGATCTAGGTTTGTAGGTCAATACTTGGCCTGGGAGCCATAGTTTGGAAAACTGTGAACAGTTCGCAGTGTAAGTCAAATTAACAACTGGTATAACTGCAGATTTTTCAACAAAACCAACTTGTAATAAGGCGACTTTTGGCTAAATGGTGCATAAATATAAAAAATGGTGCATAAATATAAACTGAGACAGAGACGAAGTTTAACCCGTTTGGTCGAATGGAAAATGGTCTTTAAAATTTGTTGAAAGCATCCCGTGAAGAAACTACATTTCTTCATCCAACAAAGTTCAGTCAAGTCATCTGGATGCTTTTATTTTTATTAATTTTTAGGCGTTTAGTTCTTCATTCAAAGGACTTCATCAGTCTGAGGAGCCACAACAAACTTAGTCCCACAAGCAGCACACTCACACAGTGGACCAACCAGTTTGCTGTTGATAAGCAAACCTGGATTTTTTTTTTTTTAATATATATTTTACCTGGATTATTGAGCATGAACGTTGATGTTTTGAACCACGTTGGCTATGGCTGCCTCAGCTATAACTGTGTATCATCAGCATAACAATGAACATTTATCCCATGCTGTTTAATAACATTACCTAATGGGAGCATATACAAGATAAAGAGTATTGGTCCAAGCACCGAACCTTGAGGATATCCATGGCTAACTTTGGTGTATGATGATGAAGATTCATTATTTACTTTTACAAATGGGAATCTATCAGATTTAAACACATTTAGAGCCGTTCCTGTAATTCCAATATCATATTCAAGTCTCTGTAATAGAATATTATGATCAACTTTATTAAATGCAGCACTGAGGCCTAACAGGACCAGTGTAGACACCTGTCCATTGTCAGAGGCCATGAGAATATCATTAGTAACTTTCACCAGTGCAGATTCAGTGCTGTGGTAAGTTTTAAACCCTGACTGGAACTCTTCAAACAGATTATTTCTTTGCAGATGATCACATAACTGACCAGCAACTATTTTCTCTAGAATTTTTTAGATGAACGTTATATTAGATATAGGTCTATTATTGGCTAGGATTCCTGAGTCAAGCTTATGTTCCTTAAGTATCTTATCACCAGCAAACTGGTTGGTCCACTATGGGAGTGTGCTGCTTGTGGGACTGAGTTTGTTGTGGTTCCTCGGACTGATGAAGTCCTTTGGATGAAGGACGAAACGTCTCAACGACAAAAAAAGAAACCATCCAGATGACCTGACTGGACATTTTTGCATTGCTGAAATACTTTCAAATTCATTTTACTCATATAATTTATTACAAAACAAAAACACACGTTTTGATTTGATTAGCTACATTAATGAAAAGTGCTAAACATCCTTTGAGTTGCCTCAAAATAGTCCTGCACACTCCAGTCCTGTAGGTGGCGCTGCTGTTTTCAAACAGAAGGAAAACCTGTCACGTGACGCTGTTGCGAGCATGCGGGTTAGTTGACTGTGAATGTTTTTCCGTATATCAAGTCGTTAAAAGTCCGAGCAGCCCGTTATAAACAAGACAAACTTTGTGAATGTAGTCGAGTCTGAAGCAGAGGCGGATTAATATCAAAACGTAATGTGTAGCGGTTACCCGACGCCCGTTTACGCTCACGCTGGACGCGGAGACTTCCGGGACGTGTACGAGCCGGCCCAGGACTCTTTCCTGCTGATTGACGCGCTGGAGAAAGATGCAGAGAGGCTGCAGGAGATGAGGTCTGACACGAGCCGAGTTTTGAGACGTTTGAAACACTTCTCGTATCTAATAACCTGAATGGGTTTATCCTCGCGGTGTTCAGCCCGGGTGTGTGTTTGGAGGTCGGCAGTGGTTCAGGAGTCGTGTCAGCGTTTCTTGCATCAGTGGTTGGACCGTCAGCTGTCTACATGTGAGTTATTCTCATAATTATGAACGGTCTTTTTTTTTATTTTTATTATTGAGCATTTCAGTTTTCCTAGTTTCCCCTTCAAATTCTGGTCTGGGTTTGTGTGGTTCTCGTTTAATAATCTTAGTTAAGGTTTGGACACTAGACATTTTACTGAAATTTGTTAAATGCAAATGACAGGATGTGGTAATGGGAAGAAAAAATAATAATTTGACCCAACAGAACGGTTTAGATAAGGTTAATCATAAGAAGTTCCTCTAATTATTATTATTATTACATGGATTCAATTAGATATTCTTTAATTGATAATATGGATGCATAATCAAGTTGCTAAAAACAATTTTTTTTTAATATTAATTAAACCCAGAACAGAGTTTGAGCAAAGTTTAATGTTTAAAATATTAATAATAAAAACTTTATTCCTAATAAAAGTTTTTGTTCAGGAACAACGGAACAGTAACCTGATGCATGCTCAATAATCCAGGTAGAAAAATCTAAAAAAAGTTAAATCTGGTCCTCTGGACATTCAAAAAACAAAGCAAAACAAACAACAACAACAAAAAAAGTAGAAACGTTTCGTCTCTCATCCAAGAGACTTCCTCAGTCTGAGGAGCTGTTTTCAGCTCAGTCTCTTAAATAGCACCTTCACAGAGTGGATCAACCAGTTTGCTGCTGACAACCAAAACCAGCTGATCACATGCTCAAGAAGGACCATCAGCCTAACAATGGGTCATTAGCACACTGATGGCTGTTTACTACTCACAGAGGGCTGAGTGATACTAGCAATCACAGCATTGTAAGAGGGGGACAGCTGAACCCGGAGGCCTCCACCCCTGTTCAACGAAGGACGATTTCCTTTCACAAAGATGGCCTCCTTTACTCCTCTCTCAAACCATCGTTCCCCTCTGTCCAGGATGTGAACATCTTCATCCTTGAAAGAGTGACCGCTGGCCTGGAGATGAGTGTAGACCGCAGAATCCTGGCCTGATGATGTTGATCTTCTGTGCTGGGCCATCCTTTTGGCCAGTGGCTGTTTTGTTTCCCCGATGTAAGACTGATCACCCTCCTGACACTGAACAGCATACACAACATTGCCCTGTTTGTGCCGGGGGACTGGATCTTTGGGATGATCCAGTCTTTGCCGTAATGTATTTTGGGGTTTAAAAGCCACTGGGACGTTATGTTTAGAAAATAAACGTCTCAGTTTCTCTGATGCTCCATCAACATATGGACTGACCACTGGTCTGGGTTCCTCCTTTTCACCTGATGGCTGACTGGAGTCCTGTTTGGGTTTCTTCTCTGCTTTCAGGAAGGCCCAGTTAGGATATCCACATTACTCTAGAGCCTGTCTTGTGTGGGATTTCTCCTTCTGCCTGGCTCCTGAGCTAGTGGGGACGCTGTCTGCTCTGTGATACAGAGTCCTGATGACTCCTAACTTGTGCTCCAAAGGGTGATGGGAGTCAAACTGCAAATACTGGTCTGTGTGGGTGGGTTTGTGGTACATCTTTGCAAATGTCCTCTTATCAACGCAACATTAACTGAAACATTTTTTCACCACACATCATCATAACAGAACGTGCACACAATTCTCACTTGAGAACAAATGAACAGAAACTGTTCTACAGGAAGTGTCCAGAATCTAAAAATAAAAATGTTTCCCTTCATACATGAGAGAAACTAAAGTATTGATTGTATTACACTGATATGATCAGTCCACCCACCTCTGCTCAATAAACAATTATAAATACCATACCACTTTATTTATAGAGCACTTAAAACAGCGACAAGGCCAACCAAAGTGCCGTACAGACAAAACAACAGGTAACACACAAAGCAACATACAAACTGAGGTAAATCAGGTAAATAAACAGATAGATGGATTCAGAGTTTCTTCTTTCCGTGGACAGTAATCTATTTTCTGGCCTTGTGTATTTTCATTATTTGTGAATTGTATAAATAACAGCATCTGTGCATGTGTTGGAAGAACTCAGACCTACGAGGACACTGTTCAATGGTTCTGGTTGTTTGGTACTGGAAGGCTTCAGCTGTTCTTTTTAATTTATTTGCAGGAGACAGAGTCTGGGTTTATCAGTTCTGGGATTGGGCAGCACTTGACGTTGTTCCCTTGTAGTCAGATATGGTCCTTTGCTTTGAAATTGGATTATTTATTTTTTGATTCAACAAGTTTTGTTCTTTTGTTTGTCACACTTGAAGGTTTAAACTTCATTCAGCTAGATTATTATTATTTTTTTTGCTTGTTGCTATTTTCATTGTGTCATTTAGGCAATTCAAACGGCTACAAAGAATGGATTAGTGTGCACCGATTGCAGTTCTCTGTCCCGTCACGGATCACTACAAAGCCTGATTTCAATTTTGGCCAATACTGATTTTGTCGGGTGTTATAAGGTCACAATGCACCTTCAAATTTCCGGTATTATTTTATTGAAAAACATACCCTTGAACAATATCCTAGAAACAATATAAACCTGTTTTAACTGGCCATGAGGTAGTGCTCTGAAATATAAATGAAGTTTAGACAATTGTTGTTAAACTACAAAAAAAATTGTAATCTGTTCTCATGTAAGTATCAGCCAATCTCCCAAAATTAAGGAAATCTGGGCCGATTTATGGTTGCCCCCCATAGAATGGATGGATAGAACTTAATTATAGGAGTGTTCATTCATCCAGGATATAAAATAACACAAAGCACACATTTAACTTCTGTGTTTGAAATTTTCAACAACATATATTCCATGCACATTATTTATTCTTGAAATAACAGAGATTACATTTTTTGTAACTGCAGATTTGTCACAAAGTGGCAGTTTCATGCTGCTGTCCAGTTATGTAACACCAGCTCTTTATTACCATACAGAAGTTAAGTTGGGAAAAACAGCTAACTTAAAACTGATGTTTTAATAAACAATGAAATTTAAATAATTGTTTTTCTAACTGTATTTAGAACATAGTCAATCAAATCGTTTCAGGTTTATATTACCGTACGTCTACAATTGTGCCGCTCAAGGTGGCTGCATGTTGGAGTAGCTCTCTTACATTCAGTCTGATTTATTGCTTTTGAAAACTTTACTCTTTTTTTTCTAGATGTAAATCGCTTTTTTCAGATATTATTTCCTTTGGTTTTGAATGCTGTGCAGCTGGAAGGATTTTTATTGAAACCTTTTCACTTTTGGAAATTTGTCATGATGCGTAACCATGACAACAAGGTGGTTTTGTACAACTGGGAGCTGCTGAAAAGCTCAAATATTACCTGAGCTACAGCCCCAAAATTCCAAATGTGTTGAAAAGGAGGTGCCGTGGATGCATTCCCATCTATGTGCTTGAGTGCCTGACCACCGAGATCTTGGAGGTGGTGGGAAACGTGGCTCATGACAGCGGGAAGACCAAGATCGTTCCCTGGCACCTGCAGTTTTGTCAGCGGCAACAAGGGGCTTGGCAGACTGCTGGGAGGAATGGCCATCGCTCGGGGAGGAGTTCTGCCCGGCATTCAGGTGGTCCTGCTGCTCAAGAGGACCGAGATGTCTTCTGGATCTGGGTGGACGGATCGGCATCTGCAGCCAGTTTCTTCGCATCGGCTGTGGGAAGGACCACTACAAGAGATCCTTCTTGCCCACATCCATCAGCATCTAGAATCTCTTTAATGAAACCAGTATGAGCTACAACAACAGCTAATTTCCCTTTGGGATTAATAAAGTATTTTTGAATTGAATTAAAATGCAACTGGCATAAAAAATACATCACATCTATAGTTTTGACAGTGAGATTGGCAATTGGTTTTTAAACCTTACAACTAGGCCTGTCGTGATAAACAATAAATCAATTAATCGCACGATGAATGAAAATTATCAACCTCATTTTCATTTACCGGCTTTGTTTTTTCGTGTCTCTTTCTACTGAAGACACTGGATGACAAAAGGCTCAACGCTGGTGCTCTTCACTGACTCCTCCCTTTCTCTTTAAAATCTGTTTTAACCGTCCAAAATTGCGTTTTTGGATCGTTAAAAGCAGCTAAGCTACGAGCTAAGCTAAGAGGCCGACCTCGGGAATAAACCTCCGACTTGTCGAGCTCCAAAATTCACGGTTGAAACCCGTGCCTTCGTGCATAAAGTTGTTTTTCTTGGCAAAAAGAATCCGAGAACTTGTTTACAGATTCTTTTTTTTTTTTATCAAAAGCGTTGTGTGAAAAATGATATGCTAAAGAGCTCAAATCACACCGAGCGTCCACCATGTCAGCCCATGTCACATCAAGGGCCCTCCCTACCATTTTTCTTAAAGAGACACGCTGCTCCACTATCAGAGTCAGAGATTCTTTGTCATTCGCACCTCATGTGGTACATGTGGTGGAGCGAAATTATGTACACAGGGTCCCAGTTACATCCAACACTAAAATGTAAAAAACAATAACATCTAAGATATGAACTAAGAAAAACATCAACTAAAAACACACTAATAGCATAAAAACATTACGTCGAACATGAGCATGAGTCTGTGAGCAGATGAGCACACAAGAACACATCAACATGAAACAAATCAGCAGCAACATGATGTGATTTTTTTTTTTTTTCACAGTGATTATTCTGGTTAGAGATTCATGAGTCTAACAGCCTCAGGGTAGAAGCTGTTCCTCAGTCCTTCCTGAGGAGAGCGGGGCAAAAAGTGTGTGTGCTGGGTGAGTGGGGTCCTTCATGATGCAGGTGGCCCTCTTCCTGCATCTGGAGGTGTAAATGTCTGTGATGGTGGGGAGACCGACTCCGACAGTTTTCTGTGCAGCCTTCACCACTCTCTGCAAAGCTCTTCTTTCTGCAGCTGTGCAACCTCCATGCCACACGTTGATGCTGGAGCACAGGATGCTCTCCTGCACACCTGTAGGAGGAGGTGAGGACTGAGCTTCCCAGACCAGCTCGCCTCAGCCGTCTGAGGAAGTAGAGTCTCTGATGTGCTTTCTTGATCAGGCTGGTGGTGTTGTTGCTCCAGCTGAGGTTGTCATTCAGGTGTACACCCAAGTACTTCTAGCTGGAGACCACTTCCACCGCAGATCCTCTTATGTTCAGGGGGTTATAGGTGTGTTTGTTCCTTCTGAAGTCCACAATCATCTCTTGTCTTCTTCACATTGATGTGAACGTTATTCTCTTTGCACCAGCTCTCCAGGTGTTCCACCTCTTGCCTGTAGTTGGACTCATCATTGTTTGTGATGCATCCCACCACCGCTGTATCATCTGCAAACTTTACAATTTGACATCCTGGATTGGTAGCTGCACAATCATACGTGAGCAGAGTGAACAGGAGAGGGCTCAACACACATCCCTGAGGAGAGCCAGTGCTGATGGTTATGGTGGAGGAGGAGAAGTTGTGGATCTTCACTGACTGTGGTCTGTTTGTTAAAAAGTCTAGTACCCAGTTGCAAATGGAGGGGCTTAGTCCTAGTGTGAGTAGTTTGTCCATCAGGGTTTGGGGGATCATGGTGTTGAAGGCGGATGTGAAGTCCACAAAGAGCATACGGACATAAGAGTCTTTCTGCTCCAGGTGGTTGAACGCAGTGTGGACCACAGAGGAGATGGAATCTTCTGTTGATTGGTTCTCGGGGTATGCATACTGATCAGGGTCCTCATTGACGTTCAAGGTTGTTTTGATGTGAGTCATGACCAGTTTTTTAAGCATTTAGCGACTATCGGGGTGAGGGCTAATGGCCGATAGTCATTCAGACCAGTCACAGTCACTGTAGAGCTTTTTGGGACTGGGATGATGGTGGCGTCTTCAGACAGATGGGAACTATGCATCCTTTGGTTCAAACAGTCTTATACTGCCATCAGGTGGTCAACAAAGGTACTGCAGCCAAACAAATCAACATTTCTTCTAAAATTTGACAATAATTGTTAAATTTCAAACAATATTATCGTTTATTACAATAATTTCGGAGACAATCGCCCAGCAAACTTTTTTATCGTGACAGACCTAATTACAACACCAAAATAATTTTTGATTTCCTTTGTTTTTACATCATGAGACAAAGACTGTATTGATGTGATGCTGCTGCTTTCATTCTGTTGAAAGCCACATGAAAGCAGATTGAGTCATGTGTTGTGTGAATGAAAGGTGACTTCAATTTTTATTTATTACAGCTGCACCGACGTGAATCCTGCTGCAGCTCAGTGCACAGCAAAGACAGCTTCTTGTAACAGCGTTTCACTGCAGCCTGTCCTCACAGACCTGGTAAGATCCCATCATTCAGTCTAAAGATGACTGGTACAACACACACGTGTCTAAAAGTAGATTTCTTTTAAGGTGGAGAGTCTTCTGCCACGGCTGTGTGGGAAGGTCGATATCCTCCTCTTCAATCCTCCCTATGTGGTGACACCTTCTGAAGAGGTGGGTGAGCTAAAACAAACAGCTGTTTCTATAATTACAAGACATGATCCTATGTTTTTTTGTTTTTCCCCCAGGTCAGCAGCAGTGGCATAGAAGCTGCCTGGGCTGGTGGGGAGCGAGGCAGAGAGGTTACCGACAGGTTTCTCCCCTCTGTTGCTCAGTTGCTGTCCTGTACAGGCTTGTTCTACCTCATCACCATCGCTGAGAACGATCCAGGTTTGTTGACTTATTACGTTTAGAAAAAAAAATGGCCTGATTTCAAATTGAAAAAGTTTTTTTTTTGTTTTTTTACCCATCAGAGGAGATCATCAGATTATTGAGCCATCAAGGCTTGGAGGGAGAGTCCTGCTTGTCCACCAGAGCAGGGAATGAAAGGTTGTCGGTTCTGCGCTTCCACAGAAGCCAACCAACATGAATCACAACTACATAATCCTGTGAAAGGTAGGTTTTATTTTTATTTGCTTTTTATTTATTTTAGGGTGTTTATTTTGTCTTGGAGGCTAAAATTAGGGTTGTATAATTAGAAAACAAACATGCAGTACAGTAGTCCCTCGCTACTTCGCGGTTTTTCAAAACAAGATTTGACATGACACGCAATTGGCTGATTGATGGATGAGCTGCACGATCTGCATGAAATTTTTATTTAAAATAAGTTATTTTTAAATTATTTAGCACCTGCGGCAGCCCACACTGCAGGATAAGCTTCCTCCTTCAGCTGTTCTCCGTGCAGAGCAGAGAAGTGGGCGTGGTCAAGAATGCTTGCAGGTGGCAGAGGGAAATAATGACATTATGTGCTTTTAGAGCGTCTAGAAACGTTTAGAATATTGCAAGAGTGTGGGATGGGTTTAAAACACCTATATATATATATATATATATATATATATATATATATATATATATATATATATAATACACGCACACACAGGTCCTTCTCAAGAAATTAGCATATTGTGATAAAGGTCATTATTTTCCATAATGTATTGATAAAAATGAAACTTTCATATATTTCAGATTCATTGCACACCAATTGAAATATTTCAGGTCTTTGTTTTAATACTGATGATTATGGCATACAGCTCATGAAAACCCAAAATGCCTGTCCCAAAAAATTAGCATATCATGAAAAGGTTCTCTAAACAAGCTATTAACCATCTGAATCAACAACGTAACTCTAAACACCTGCAAAAGATTCCTGAGGCTTTTAAAAACTCCGAGCCTTGTTCATTACTCAAAACCGCAAACATGGGTAAGACTGCCGACCTGACTGCTGTCCAGAAGGCCATCATTGACACCCTCAAGCAAGAGGGTAAGACACAGAAAGAAATTGCTGAACGAATAGGCTGTTCCCAGAGTGCTGCATCAAGGCACCTCAGTGGGAAGTCTGTGGGAAGGGAAAAGTGTGGCAGAAAACGCTGCACAACGAGAAGAGGTGACCGGACCCTGAGGAGGATTGTGGAGAAGGGCCGATTCCAGACCTTGGGGGACCTGCGGAAGCAGTGGACTGAGTCTGGAGTAGAAACATCTAGAGCCACCGTGCACAGGCGTGTGCAGGAAATGGGCTACAGGTGCCGCATTCCCCAGGTCAAGCCACTTTTGAACCAGAAACAGCGGCAGACTGGACTTGCTCAGTGGTCCAAAGCACTTTTTTCGGATGAAAGCAAATTTTGCATGTCATTCGGAAATCAAGGTGCCAGAGTCTGGAGGAAGACTGGGGAGAAGGAAATGCCAGAAGTCCAGTGTGAAGCACCCAGTCGGTGATGGTCTGGGGTGCCATGTCAGCTGCTGGTGTTGGTCCACTGTGTTTTATCAAGCGCAGGGTCAATGCAGCTAGCTATCAGGAGATTTTGGAGCACTTGATGCTTCCATCTGCTGAAAAGCTTTATGGAGATGAAGATTTCATTTTTCAGCACGACCTGGCACCTGCTCACAGTGCCAAAACCACTGGTAAATGGTTTACTGACCATGGTATTACTGTGCTCAATTGGCCTGCCAACTCTCCTGACCTGAACCCCATACAGAACCTGTGGGATATTGTGAAGAGAAAGTTGAGAGACGCAAGACCCAACACTCTGGATGAGCTTAAGGCCGCTATCGAAGCATCCTGGGCCTCCATAACACCTCAGCAGTGCCACAGGCTGATTGCCTCCATGCCACGCCGCATTGAAGCAGTCGATCATGCAAAAGGATTCCCGACCAAGTATTGGGTGCATAACTGAACATGATTATTTGAAGGTTGGCATTTTTTGTATTAAAAACACTTGTCTTTCATTGGTGGGATGAAATATGCTAATTTTTTGGGACAGGCATTTTGGGTTTTCATGAGCTGTATGCCATAATCATCAGTATTAAAACAATTAAAGACCTGAAATATTTCAGATGGTGTGCAATGAATCTGAAATATATGAAAGTTTCATTTTTATCATTACATTATGGAAAATAATGACCTTTATCACAATATGCTAATTTTTTGAGAAGGACCTGTATATATACACACATATACACACACACTAAAATAAACTACTAGTACTACTACTTCACGGTTTTTCACGTATCGTGGCGCTTCAGGGTATGAATGCCCGTGATGGTTCATGCTCATTAATCCATGTAGAAAATCCAACAAAGTTCAGTCAGGTCATCTGGATGTTTTTTGTTGAGACGTTTTGTCCTTTATCCAAAGGACTTCATCAGTCTGAGGAGCCACAAGCAGCACGCCCACCCTCTCCCGTTGACTCCTCTGAGGCAGCCATAGCCAAAGTGGTTCAAAACATCGAAGTTTTGGATGAAACGTAAAAAAAAGTGTCCAAATGATCTGACTGAACTTTGATGTTTTGAAACACTTTGGCAGCTTCAACGGGGGAGAGGGCAGGTCCCAGAAACCATCTTATCGGGTTTGCTGCGGCTCCTCGGACTGATGAAGTCCTTTGGATGAAGGATGAAACGTCTCAACAAAAAATACATTAGTCTTCACAACATTCTGTGCTTTAGCACCTCAGACACTCGGTTTATACTTTTGATTAACTACCAAAGTAGTTAATCATTATATATTAAATTGGAGGCAGTCTTTTGTTAGAATATTGTACAGCTCTAGTTTAAGGTAGAATGAAAACCTTGAGACTCAGTTCTTTTCCAGACAAATTTAATGTTAGACATGCACATATTCAATAATCAGACAGTAGTTTCATGACAAAGTTAAAACACTGCATATGTAAACAGCAGTTCCTGTGACTCTTCGTTTGGTCTTACACTGCAGTTGTAGCATCAAAGTCAAACTAGCACATTTTCCTGGTGAGCTTTTTTTTTTTTGTCAATGCTGATGACTAGTTTTAGTGTGGACAAAGGCTTCCAGTTGATTTTCAATTGTACCAAGGAAATACACTTGCATAAAAGTTATTAGGGCAGTAGCTTAAAAACATGTTTAAACAAAGTAATATTTTGCCTGTTCAGTAAAATTGTCAGTACCATCTTTACCTACAGCTCCCATGCAGCAAAGTCTTAAAAAATTCGTAGCTGGTCATGCAAACATTTACACTGAAGTTTTTTTAAGTAATGTTTGTCTAACACAGGACATTTTTTTTATACTGTATGTAAAAATATCAAAGCCTCTCAGACAAAATTTGTGGTGGTATTGGCCATGACTTTGAATGTGACGTAGTGCCTAAAAGGCTCGCGAGTATTACATGTAGTAGTGAAGTTTAACATAAGATGACAATCATTTCTGTAATTTCCAGATAACGTGTCCATTTTCACCCAGGGACACAGAACCACCAGCTACTAGCTCCATAGCTGTGGGGAAAGCTTTGTGCTCTGCTTCCTTGATCCTCTCTGACAGACTCTCCTCCGTGTCACGGATCATTACAGGCACAGTTTCCTGCACAATTATAGCTCCTGCGTCCACTTCCTCCTGAATAAACGAGACAATCATTAGTCTACTACAAGTCCGTTGAGCAATTGTCACAGTTAGAAGGCCAACGCCTGTCTTCCTATTTTAACCTTTGCTAGAACTAGTGCATGACAGTTGAATAAATGTTTGTATAATTACATTGATCAGTGTTCCCCAAATAAAGGCTCAAACCGTATCAGACCCTAAGCAGACGGTCCGTCCAATACACTGTGTCGCACAATTAAATTCCCCTGGTCTGGTTTAATGGCCTTTTGGTTTTTTGCCAAGAGGCAAGTAATCTCTTCCTCCTCATCTGTTGACAACTGAAATGGTGAGAAATTTGTCACGAGCGATTTAAAATCAGGTCGAATGCTCCCTGTTGTTTTTATTTTTTACAACCTATCAATCAATCTAGTAAGCGTGTCAGCAACCTCAACTTGTCCCAAAGGTAAACACCCCTTGCCTGCGGAGCTGGGCTGCAGCTCATCAGGGTGTACGCTCGAGTATGTGGGAACCTAACTTGCTGTGGTGGTGTTTTAGCGAGCCTCTAACTTAAGCCCCCAGTATACTGCCGCTTACCATCCAATTTTTACAACTGCATACGCGGTGTCGTAAATAAACTGCCAAATGCCGGACTGTTTTGTATGCGACACCAATGTCTTAAATTCCCCTTCTTCATCCCTGATCTGGCTTTTTCTTTTGTTTTTTTTTTGCCAAGAGGCAATGACTGAAATGGAGAAATTTGTCACGAGCAAATTAAACTCAAGTCCAGCATGGCTGCGGGAGGGTCTGGAGATTTCCTGGTGGGCTGTAGAGCCAGCGCTCTTTTTTTAAATTTTTTTTATTAACAACACAGAACACCGCTGGGTGTACGCTCGAGTATCATGACTGAACCCTCTGCGTACCGGACATATGTGGCAGTATACTGGAGCCTTTATAGTTACATCAATGCCAACAGTTGTGGGATGTGCGCGATTTGGTAGACGGGGTGCCCTGCTTGTATAACGGTAGGTGAAACATTGGAGTTACAAGAATTAGTTGCATTTTCACATGCCTACGTCAAACAATCATACATTAAAAATGGGAAAGCTAATTTAAATAACATGTACAACGTTAAAGTATGTCAAGTTGCAACTAATTCACTCAATACATTTTTAGTGCACAATTTCTGTCAAAACATAAAGCACAGACTAGTGTATAACTCTTAAAACATTTCACCACTTTTATTATGCAATAGGCCCAATTACCTTAATAGATAAATCTGTTTAAAATAAATAATCAGATCAATGCTGACAAGTTAACATTTTCATTCTCTAACTATAATTCGATATTCAAAGAGTAAATAAAAACACTGATAGAATTTGTGGGCGATGAGTTGGGATGATCTGCTCAAACTAGAATGTTTATTTTTTTTTACTGACTAAAGGAATAAATATCCTCAAGCATGCTCAAAGGGCCTTTTGTGCCGTTTCAAACCAAAACTGAACTTACCGCTACAAAGTGCACGGTACAGCCGGTTACTCGAACTCCAGCCTGCAGAGCCTGCTTCTGAGCATTCACACCTCTGAATGAGGGCAGCAGGGATGGATGGATGTTCAGTAGTTTACCTGAGAAAACAAACATGTCTCGACTGAGAAACAAAATCTGTGGTCAGAATAAGTAGCTCAGACGTTGCCTTGGTAGATTCTTCACACCAGTCCATTTCTTGACAAAAGTCCCAGTGAGAATCCTCATGAATCCAGCCAAACAGACCAGCTCTACTCCAAATTCCTCCAGCACTCGGTCGATAGTGCCGTCAAACTCTGCACGGCTTCCATACAGCTTATGGTCCACCACCTGGTTAGAGATCAGACACAAATGGTTTACCAATTATTCCACTTGCATATCTTCCGAACCATAATTATGGACTTGATTTGATCAGTTGGTTCCTCAACTCAATTTACAACATTTCTTTGAAGAGAAGACAGGCTTTAGGTGAGCCGATTTGCCCTGTTGGCACGTACGCAGCTGGATATCTCATCGACTTGAAGATGTGTCTATCTCTGCTGCCATTTGTGGATTTAGCTGTTTGCTGGTTTTATCTACAATCAAGGAAGCTGTCAGCAGCAAATTTGGACCCGATCACGCTGCTTGCCTTATGATGGCTTGGTTCGTGCCTCGAGTACCCAGACTCATATGCTTTGGGTAGAATGGATCAGATCTTGGGGATTTTACTCAGTCACATTCCATCAGTGCGGCCATGTAATTTGGACATTTCAGAACTGTTTGGACCAACACATTATCATTAAGTTCTGCCTGTCCCCAAAACAACTGTGTTTTTATCTGAACTTGGCGGCCATCTTATTTGAATACGCCTGGAGAACATGTAATTTGATGCTCACCACCCCCTCCCTGAGGAATTACCAATTGATAACCAGCTGAATAAACATTGTGTCATCATTTCAGGACTCTTGGATTCCCATAGGAATCGTGCTTGGCTATTCCCCGACATCCCTTGAGAATGTTTACAGATGTCACAGGAGGGAACTGGTTGATTATTCCATCCTTATCAGAACTCTTACAGTGCCCACGAGAGCGTCCAAGGACATTACTCACCGTTCTCGTCGTCTGCCCCCTCTGCGGAATGTCTACGTTACTATGTGCTTGTTTGTGCGAGGTGTTTTTTAATATTAGAGTTTTTCTTCTCAGCCAAGAAGAAATAGTCTGATAGGAATTTTTTGCCTCTAATTCCTACTTGTGTCCAGTTTCACAGGACACAAATAGTCTAAACAGATCTCACTTGTACATGAATCTTCTAGACTCGATCTGTCTTAATAAAGATTGAATGAATAATCACAAGTCCAAACATGCTGAATCGTAAATTTGTCAGCTTCATAATTAGTAGGTTATTTAACAAGTGATGCAACATGAAAATGCATAATAAGCATCCATTAGAACAACTTCAAGCTTTTAACAGTTTTAAGTTTGAGATGGAAAATGTGGTCAGTGGATAATCAAAATAAATTTTCCAAGATATTTTCTCAACAGTGTGTTCGTTTCAATTTATCAAATAGGACGAGTTAAAATACTCAAGAAACACGACATTGATAGCTATGTTATGTAAGCTCAATATCTATTTTTGTTTCTTTATAACTGAAAGGTAATCAGGACACTAAGTGCATTTTTTAAACATGAAAAATGTGAGACTATATTGAACAGGTCATTTATTTTTATTTTTTCATTAAGAAAAAAAAAAAAGTTTTTTATTTAAATGTCTGGTGCCTGTAATAACAGAAATAAAATGGTTAAATCATATTTAAATTGTTTTTGTAAATTTATATGTAAATGAGATGGGCATTTGATATCGCAATATATCGATCGCAGACTTGTGAAATTAATAGAAATGAAATCGTATTGTCATACAAACAAATCAATATAATATCGTGTCGTGGTAAAGCTGGTGATTTACACCCCTACGGAACAAGCGGAATATGGATGGATAAACTGCCCTAATTTTCCAACTAGTTTTATTTTTTCTTTATCGTAAAATGTGTGTTTATGAAATCAGACTGTACTAATAATAGTAATGTACAGCTTATATTGTATTCCAATTTTTGTCATAACAATAATAATAATAATCTTTAGGTAGATTTTGAAACTAAATGAATGTTGTATGCACAAATGGTTGGTCTATAGTCGCCAACACAACTCGTCTGAAGGTTGTAACTTTTCTCCACTGTTAGATCGTAAGTAAAAACCTAACAGCAAGAAGTATTTTAATTTTTAGTCACCCTGAAATGATCCATTCATTTCATCATAGTTTTACCTGCTGACAAACTCAAAGTATCTCACATAATTTTCATCTGCTCACAGACTCATGTTCGTTTGGCGTATTGTTTTTGCACTTTTAAATGTTTAGTGTATTTCTTAGTTCGTATCTTAGATCTTATTACTGTTTTTCTTTACAATTTATACTTTTGCTGGATGTAACTGGGACCCTGAGTACACAAAGTTGTTCCACCACATGTGCCACGTGATGAGAATGACAATAAAGAACCTTGACCTTGATCATAAGGCTTACCCGGGTCTGGATGCCGGCCAACGAGGCTCTCTTCAGACCCTGAACCCCAGGTCTGTTGGAGATGACCACCACAATCTCTGACGAGCTGGACGGGTGCTTGGCCTGCTCGATAAGAGCCTGCAAGTTTGTGCCTGGACAGCAGAGACAGTTGTAAAGACAAAGCCCAACAAATGTTGACAAAAATCCACAACTTGTTGCAGTTGCAACACACCTGTGCCAGAGATAAGAACCCCAACTCTTTTCCTCTTGCGTGGTGTGGTACCATCTCCATGGCAACCAGGATTTTCAGCCCCCAGCTCCCCACTACATACTGCTTCCACATTCAGCAGGCTTTGTTGTAGATTTCGCACCACCACGGATGCTGCTCCTGCACGAGGCACAAACGATTCATGAAAGTATTACGTTTAAAGGTCGATCGAGAAGTCCGAACAGAATCAAACGAGCACTTCTTTGTCCCACCAGGTTGTTTGTGAGCCAGCGAACCGACGATCCAGGCCTCCTCGTGGACCTGAAGCTGGCGCAGAACCCTCTGAGCATCAACGGGGGCCACCACCAGCACCGCACCGAGGCCGCAGTTGAAGGTGCGGGACATCTCCTCCTCGCTCAGACACCCTTCTTTATGGATCCAAGCAAACACTGGAGGGATGCTCCACCGGGACGCATCTGAGCGTTTAAATACCGATAATAAGAACACATCACAGACGGACCTAAACGTTTCAACAGTGATGGATTTAATATAAAAACAGCTGTTTATTTGTTACATAAATAAACTTCAAACTGCACCACTGTCCTTAATTCACTTTCAGTTATGATTAATAATTGATCATGTGCTTCCACGTTGCTGATATTTTTCTGCGGTAACGTTACAAATTAATTTGCAAATCAACAGTCACCTAAATCCACAGCCAGCTCCTGGGGCAGCACCCGGGGGATGTTCTCCAGGAGCCCCCCTCCTGTGATATGCGCGTAGGCTTTGATAGCACCGCTGTGCAGGATGGGCAGGAGCAGACGACTGTAGAGTTTTGTCGGAGTCAGCAAAACCTCCCCTGGAGGCAAAACAAGGGAGAAAATGATGCTTACACATATTATTTATGTTGTAAATATTAGTTAATTTAGTGTTTTGATAAAAAAAAAATTATTTCTGAGATGCAACTACAGAGAAAGTTGTTTTAAATAAACACAAACAGGCTTTAACACAGAAGTGATAAAGTGCTTTAACCCTTTTATTGTCCTATTTATGTTCCCTACGGGAAAAATCTAACATTTTATTGAACTGCTTAAAAATACAATTTTTTCCATATTATTTTCCACAAAAAACAAGTCAGTCTTAGATGCATCTCAACCTGAAATAAAAATATCAAATTTAAATTAATTTTTTAATTTTAATTCTAAGGATTTTTTTTATTTAAAAAAAAAAAAAGTCCACATCTAGCTAGGCCTGTCGCAATAAACAATAAATCAGTTAATTGCACGAGATTTTCATTTATCGGCTTTATCGTTTCTTTGTGTCTCTCTTTCTACTGAAGACACTGGATGACAAAAAGCTCAACTCCGGTGCTCTTTACTGACCCTTTCTATTTTTTCTTTAAAATCTGTTTTAACCGTCCAAAATTGGGTTTTTGAATCGTTAAAAGCAGCTAATCTGAGAAGCTAAGCTAACAGGCTGACCGTGGGGGAAAAAAAATCTCTGTCTTGTCAAAGCTCCAAAATTCAAGGTTGAAACCCGTGCCTTCATCTAAAAAGTTGTTTTTCTCTGCAAAAAAAAAAAAAAAAGACTGAGAACTTGTTTACTCGTTTTTTTAATTAAAAGCTTTGTGTGAAAAATGCTATGCTAAAGAGCTCAAACCACACCCAGCGTCCGCCATTTTGAGAACCGAAAAACAGGAGTGAGAGACAGCCCATGTCATGTCAAGGGGCCTCCCTCCCGTTTTTCTTAAAGAGACACGCTGCTCGCTCCATCACTATCCACCCTTCGGTTCAGACAGTCTTATACTGCCATCCAGTGGTCAAAAAGGTACTACATGCAAAACAAATTAACCAATATTTCTTCTTAAATTTGATATTTATTAAATATTGTCAAATGACTAATTATTGTCAAATTTCAAACAATATTATCGTTTATCGCAATAATTTCTGAGACAATCTCCCAGCAAAATTTGTTATCGTGACGGGCCTAGCCACATCTCAGTTTTCACGAAATATTTATTTTATGGAAATTTAAAAAAAAAATAAAGAAACAACAAAAAAATAAAATAAACATAATTATTAAAAAAATATATTTTTTCCCACATTAGTATCCTTAAACTAATTTTTGGCAAATTGCAGTCCCAAGTTTTGAAGACCCTCCAAAATCTGTTTCTGAAAATTACGTCTGGTTTTTGGTGAAACGTGTAAATTTTGTTTTTACAAATTATTCTAATGCGGCTGATGGTTTTCCCCAAAAGAACATAAATCTGACAAATAACATTCAAAAATATGTAGGTTTTTTTTAAAGGGAAAAAAGTTATTTATTGACAGCAACAAAACAAATAAATAAAAACATACAAAAAATAAATACATGGCTGATTTTCCCCCAAAAGATGATACAAGGGTTAATGACACAAAAAGGGAATAAACTACCGTAATTTCCGGCCTACAAGCCGCTACTTTTTTCACAGGTTTTGAACCCTGTGGCTAATTTATGGATTTTTTTTTTTTTTTTTTACTTTTTGGACAGACAAGCTTCCTGCCCCCAAAAACATTTAGCTTCATGACACCCATGCGCTCATATAGCCGCTCAGTACACGTCTCTCTTGGGGGGTGAGTCCTCGTGACTACCTGTATAAATAAAGGTTAAAAAAAAATCTGACCAATGAAATTACCGAACAGGTCACAGTGGACCAATGAAATGGGGAAGGAGAGGGGAATCCCCACCCCAAGCACAGAGCATGTTGGGGGGGGGGGGGGGGGACTGTGCTTCGCGGAGAACAAGCTTTGGCAGCAAGAGGAAGATGAAGATAATCAATGACTTCCTAATAGACTACTGCATTTTTTTGGACAATGAAAGACACTGAGGGCGTATGTGATGATGTTTTTCTGAGGCCATTTAAATTCTGACACTGAAGAAGACGACTTTAGTGGTTTTAGTGCACAAGAGGAAGATGAGCATGGAGATCAGTGACTTTCTGGTAAGCTACTTTATTGTATTTTTTTTTTTTTTTTAACCAGCCATGTTAAAGGCATTGTTCACAATTTTTATTTTTTTTTAATTACCGTACGCATTTGTGTATGTTACTGGTATGTATTTAATAAAAAAAAATAAAAAAAACTGTGTGTAAATATCTCACGTTACAACATAGACACCCATGGCTTATACACAAGTGCAGCCTATATATGTAGAATTAAAAATATATATATATTTAGCGTGCGCAGCTTATATTCGGGTGCACTCTATAGCCTTTAAAGTGACGAATACCACACAAAAAACAAGAATTAAGTCAACTCACAAAAAAAAAGAATTAAGTCAACTCACCAACAGTTTGTCCTGGTTTCCCAAATAAAGCAGGGGAGTTGTAGCTCAGGTTGGTCCTCTCCAGGACTTTGCGGACTAGACTGAATCCATTGCTGTGCAGCCCAGAGGAGGCCACCCCGATCAGCAGGTCTCCCCCTGTGATGTCCTTCATCCTGGGCAGTAGGGCCCCCCGCTCCACCGCACCGACACAGAAACCAGCCAGATCGTACTCTCCTGGAGCGTACACGCCCGGCATCTCCGCCGTCTCCCCACCTGTTCATGCCCTTAGTTTTAGCTTCGACACAAACGTGATTTTTCCTTAAATCTTACACATCGTCTCACCCAGCAGAGCGCAGCCGGCCTTCTCACAGGCTTTAGCGACGCCGCCAATCACCGAGGCAGCCACGTTGACGTCAAGACTCCCGCAGGAGAAGTAGTCGAGGAAGAAGAGTGGCTCGGCGCCCTGGGCCAACACATCGTTCACACACATGGCCACCAGATCCTGACCGAGGCTGCCATGCTGCCCGCATGCCTGGGCAATCTGATGACGGAGGGAAAAAAACGTTGCACAAGTGAACTGATTGCAGTGTTTGCGTGAATAAAAACACTAGTGGGAAATTAGATTAGAAACGGCACCTTAAGCTTGGTCCCAACACCGTCTGTCCCAGAAACCAGGATTGGGTCAACAAACCCTGCTGCCTTCAGATCAAACAGTCCAGCAAAGCCTCCAAGTTCAGAGTTACAGCCTGTCAAGAAGAAAACGTATACCGTAATTGCCGGTGTATAAGCCGCTACTTTTTCCTCATAGACCTGTGATAAACAATAAATCAATTAATCGCATGATGAATGAAAATTATCGATCTCATTTTCATTAACTGGTTTTATCGTTTCTTCGCGTCTCTCTCTTTCTACTGAAGACACAGCTCAACTCCAGTGCTCTTCACCAACCACTCCCTTCCTCATTTTTCTTTAAAATCCATTTTAGCCGTCCAAAATCGCGTTTTGGATCGTTAAAAGTAGCTAAGCTGGGAAGCTAAGCTAACAGGCCAACCTCGGGGAAAAACCTGCGTCTTGTCAAGCTCCAAAATTCACGGTTGAACCCCGTGCCTTTGTGTAAAAAGTTGTTTTTCTCTGAAAAAAGAAGCTGAGAACTCGTTTACTCTTGACCTTGATAAGACTTCTGGGTAATATTTACCAGAATATAATTTTCGGTTATGTAGGTGTTTGACACTGTTCTGTCCAGTGATTATGCATAAATTAAATTGCTATGCTAAAGAGCTCAAACCACCAAGTCACGTCAAGGGCCCTCCCTTCCATTTTTCTTTAAGAGACATGCTGCTCAACTATGTTTGGTTCAAACAGTCTTATACTGCCATCAGGTGGTCAAAAAAGGTACTACACACCAAACAAATCATTTTTTTCAAAAATTTGACAATTATTGTTAAATTTCACACTATCATTTATCGCAATAATTTCTGAGACAATTAATCGCCCAGCAAAATCTGTTATCGTGACAGGCCTATTTCCTCACACTTAAATACCAGTATCTCATTTAAGCTCACATCCGAACATAGAGCGGAGACAACGGTAGGGGCTCTTCCCATTCCTCCTCCTCTCCCCCACCTCATGTGGGCTCCACTGAGCAGGAGTCACGTCAAATTTGTTTAGAAAGTACATTTAAAAACAGCAGCTGTTACCAAAAGTGTTTAACAATAAATATCAATAGTACTAATTTAATGAATATTTAACATATTTTACAAGTACTATGCGACTCCCGGTCACATGACCTTGATAATACTTCTGGGTAATATTTATCATTATATAAGTTTTCCATAATTTCGGTTACATAGGTGTTTGACAGTTCTGTCCAGTGATTATGCTTAGATAGTTCTTTTGTTCATTTTGAAGGTTGAATGGTTTTAACCATGAGTCAGACAGTGAAGCTTCATGAAGACTTATGACGATCACCAAGCCATAGTCTTTGAAACGCCATCCGGTGGCTGATTCTTGTACTACAACAAAACCTGCACATAATGCCAGGAGCTGGGCACAGATTCTAATAATGAATGGTGGATACCCGCGGCTTAAACACAGGCGCGTCTTATTTATATATAAAATTATGTTTCATCTTAATTTTAGTATGTGCAGCTTACAGTCAGGTGCATTCTGTAGCCTGGGAATTATGATATCTCTATCTATCTATCTATCTATATATATATATAAAAATATATATATATATATATATATAAAAATATATAT